CATATAACACGTACATGAGAACTTGTGAACAATACAATCAAAGTAACAATCGGCAAATAAAATAAATTTACAAAATTAACAAAAAGTAATATATCAGGATGAGTTCTAAAAAAATTGTCTCATCCTACTTCTGCTTCTGTCACATTTCGAAAATTTTTGGGACAAGATTGACTTATTCTAAAATGACTGAGACAAGAACAATACATTGGGATTGAATACAGTTGAACACTCCTATCAGGCAGTATAATGATTAATGAGTACTATGTGACACATATCAAAGATATGGGTTTTCTATTTGATTAACTCATACTTACACGTAACAAAAGATAACCTGTAAAGTTACAATAATTTAGGAAAATAATAACTTTGAAAGATCCATATATATATGTGGACCGCTTATAATTATTTTCGTGAATTATTGTATAGAGACACGAACGAACATAATGAGTGTGCGGGACATAATGATGGAATTCGTATTTGATCACTTATAGATGTATACAAACAGAAAAGATCACCTGTAAAAAAGTTATAATAATTTATGATGATAAAAGAATTCTACGATACATTATTATTAAAAGGCATGCCTGTGGACATGTATGAACCTTTTTTTAATAAGAGACATGTATGACTTTAAATACTAGTTTTTGGTATGATATTTTTATTATAAAAAAATCTTCACGTAGACTTTTTTTTTTTAAATTCTGTACAAAATACTCCTTCTGATTCATAATATAAGATGTTGATCATAAGAAAATTGTGGTTCAAAATAGAAGCGTTGTCAGGATAATTAAATATCATTTTTTTTCATTAAATATAGAAGATACATAAAAGATAATAAATGTGTAACATCAAAGACAATTTTATTATTATTAGGATAAAATAAGAAAATTCAATCATTTTAAAATAAATTGAATAATTAAACTTCTATTTTTGATACATGAAGAAAGTTAATTAACTTTCTCTATTATGGAGCAGAGGTAACAAATTATATATTTTTTGTCGCTGAATCCGAAAAACACGGTTGGCACACCTGAAGCGTTGCTTTCCCGCCTTAAATAATACGGGCCCGAGTCTACTAAATTGATTTTGACCGATCATGCCAAAAATGCAAAACTACATGTAAAGACCCCAAGTTAATAAAACCTTTAAATTTTGTATCACCAAAATAAAATCCTTAAATTTACCACACTTGATCTGGATTTTGTTCTATAAGGGTGTTTATTTAAAAGAATGATGATTATACAGCTCATCTCATCCCTTTAAATCTTTTTGGCCCAGAAAAATCATTTTAAACAAACGCACCCCAAAATTAATTAAAGGGAGTGTTTGGCTAACTCCAGCAGTATTTTTCAGAAGCACTTTTCTGTAAATCGAGATAAACTCCTTCACATATTTACTTCGTATATTGTAAAAGCGCTTCTGAAATCATAGTTTTGGTTTTATTCAAACACCCCCTAAAGGTCATAAATATGTAAAAACTTGTGTTTTTTTTTTCCATATATGCTTTTATATATTTAGAGATGGGGTGGGTGTGAGAGAGAATGAGTGGAAAAATGTTATGATTAATGCAGAGAAATATTAAATAGCCCTTATATTAAGGATTGAAGAATAACCTATAAAAAGGATTAAAGAGAGTATATAATAAATTTGACATGTTCACTTAATCAATAGTTTTAGATTAACTTAAACCTTAATTTGATTCAACGTATAAGGTTGAGGAGTGCGCTTAGTGAGATTATAGATCATCAAGAGTGACCTATATGCTTACCGGCTCCCACTGACTATTTATTTAATTAATCCTACTTTTTGTTCTTATATAATATAAAAATTAGTTGGAGATTGATTTTGATCCTAAATATAGCACATTAATCCGTTTCATCCCCAAACTTACAATTCATTCTCAAAAGTATTGTAATTAATTATACATATTAAGAGAGTTTCTATCCAAGGGTAATTGTAATTAAAATAATACTTTAAGAAAATTAACTCATACTTTTTACAAATAACTAATATAATTAACTTTATTAATCTATTTAAATTAGTTAAATAGTTAAATAGTTCTTGTATTAAAGACTGAAAGTAATATTAATTAATTTATGGTTAATATAATCTTTAGTTCCTAAACTTTTGCTTTATTTTAGTTTTGATCCCTCAAATTTTAAATCATATGTTTTGATTTGTTAATGATTAAAATGGCCCAAATTTTTATTAAGCTATAGGGATTAATATTTTAAATAGAAAAAAAACTTAACGGATCAAAATTAAAATAATAACAAACTTGATAAACTATCCTATTAATTTATTTAACAAATGAGATTGGACACGAAGAATCCAAGCGGGAAAAGAGTTGTGACAGGTGGACCCATGGGATGCACGTGGTGTTATCGACAAACACGTGGCCATGTCAATTTTTGGCCCTTCCTTTTTTGCCTCCTCCCTAAATTAGTTTTGGACCCAAATATGGAAAGCAATCGCAATCTGCAACCCAACAAACACCCCTACGTGTCATTTTTCATGGTGCTGGGCCCCACCACCAATAATTCCGCCCCATCCATCGGTGGTATATCTCTTCATGCCTTTTTCAGTCTGTGAACCCTAATAGCTAAGTTTAGGTGAAAGAAAAGGAAACAAGGCGCTTGTTTGGTTTTTTGAAAACAATTTTTATTTAAAAAAAATAAAAAATACTGATTTAGTAATCTGTTTTTAGTTTGTTATTTTAGTAAAAAAAATAAAAAAACAAGAAAATAATAATATTTTTTCAAAACTAAAAGTCCAAGACAATTTTAAAATATTTTCTTGTTTTTAGTTTTTGTAATTTTTTTAAATTTTTGTTTTGAGAATTTGGAGAAAGCTTCCTCTCCTCTTACTTGTCACTAGCCACCTATCACCACGGAGGAAGTTAAGACAAACACCAAATTTTGAAAACTCGGAGAAACTTTCTTCTCTTCTTAATATTTTATAAGCTTCAATTTAGTGTTTGTTTGATATAAAAGATAGTAAAAAATTTTATTTTGATTTTATGTAAAAAATTCAGTCCATTTAATTTTTTTTAAAAGTCTTTTTACTGATTACATATATTAAAACAGTCAAGGAAGTAATTTTTAATGCAAATAATTAAAAGTCATATTTTAGAGAAACCAACATACACTTTTTTCGAATAAACTAAATTAATTCTCTTAAAATCTAGAAATTAGTTATCAAGCTCCAACCTTTAGGAGGGAGGCAATAGATGGTATCTGATTTTCCTCAACTGATAAATGAAAGGAGCTTGTACCCCTAACATCACGAGAAATACACCTACTTACATAACGTATATTTTTAAAATATCCCAAGTCAAACAAGTAATATTTGCATTTTTAACTTTTGTTGTCACTTCCAGATCTTAATGTAAGATCTAGTTTATAGTTTGTGGTTTAAAAATCTAGTTTGCACGTAGTTTAACTTGAATATCAAACTAAATATTATATTAAGTACAGGAAATAGTATAGTGATAATTATGTACAAACAGCAAAAGGATGTGATGTATTGATTTTCATCGTCATATGTGTCTGCCTCTTTATATACCAGAAGAGAAAAAGTGATATTTTAATTTTATATTTATAAGATAACTTGCAATGTTTTAGAATAATTTGTGGATAATTTGTAGAGCATACGATCGTCAAAGAAACAAAATCAAAACTAGAACCTTTTTAGTATGATATATATGGAGTATGTACACTGTACCCATTAGCATATGGCATTGAATAAGAAACCATTATCTTCTCATTCATATGTCGACCTCTCCCACTCTTCGTTTGCGTGTAGATCTTGTTTTTTTCCATATGTTTTATATAATCGATAAGCGTTGAAAGATGTTAAGCATTTATGGTACCCAAGTCAATTTTAAACATTTTGGTGAAAACTTGGTTGCATCACACCCATCTCATTGAAAGCATATGCCCATATCGATTTTCTTCTCATTATTATATACTGATGGAAAAAAGTGGGGAGGGGGGGGGGAGAGAGAGCTAAAAAAAGGGGAAATAAGATAAATAAAACGAGAAGAGAAATTAAAGATCAGCAGAGGATAAAACTTAATAATAAATTTCATTCAAGTCATAACACGTCTCCAAAATAATGTGTTGAGAGTTATTCATAATTTCAACTTTAACTCTAAAATTAAAGAAAAGCTAATAAAGTTTAAATTTCTCTTGATTTCGGTAAAATATCTGGGAATTGCTTTATATTCTCTCTGAGTATCTGGTTCAAAATATAAGCATTAAATCTTTAAAATGTGTGTTTTTTTTATAAGCTTTATTTTAGATTTGTTTGATCATTTAATGTATTTTTTCACTTTTATTTTTAATTAATTATATGTCTCTCCTATATTTATTTTTCATGCATTATTCTCTTTCATCTTTTTTTTATTTATTCTTTCTCCCACCTGTCTTGTCTATAAATAAGAGTGTTTTAGAAAAATATGTTACATTTTTTTATGTATTTATGGTTTCTAATCAATTTTGGCTAACTTTTTAAATTTTATAATTTAGTTATTTAATGTTTATATTTTTAAAAGGAGGGAGTAATAAATACCACTCTTTCCTTTCAAAAAATTATCTTGGCATAAGCAGAGTATATGACATCCACCATAGGCGTATAATTTCATTATTTTAATACATTTGATTATTTGATCCAAAAAAGGGTAGGAGTGGACTTGAAAACTGAAATGGTAAAACAATAGACAAGCTTATCATCATAATTCCAAAAATATGGCCCAGGGTGGGCCCCAAACTCTGCAAATAGTCCCTCCAGTTCTGCACAATCTGAAGCCACCCGTCGTACTTATTATTTGATTCGTCAGTGTGTTCCCATTCTTTTTATCAAAACCAAGTCATATTTTATATCGTCCGTCCAAAGAGCAATAAAAGAGAAAGGGGCAAACCCTAAACTTACCCTCATAGATCCGAAGCAATATATTTTCTATTTCATATATATCACCCGTCATCTTTATTTTATTACAAGTTACAGCCATCTTCTTCTTCTTATATATATAAATTATATATTCTGAAGAAGGTGAGATCACCCTGTGGCTGGTTTACAGAGACTTCACCCAAAGAGAGACACGAGATCTTTTCCCTTTCTCGATCGTATCCATGGCTTCAGAGCAAGTTGCTGCAGATACGTCTTCAGTAATCATACCACTTCTGGCTGATGACAAGGCTCTTCTGAAACGGCATGTGGCGGCGACGGCTGCGGCGGCGAAAGGTGGCGATGATCTCCACAGCCTTCAAGTGGGAAATACGTCCTCTTTCAAGACTTGTTTTCATGGGATCAATGCTATTTCAGGTTTCAATGTCTCTCTTTCTCTCTTTAGTTTTTTTTTTTTCCCCTTGTTTTGTTTCTGTCTTCAATTATTTAATTTGCTTAATTTGTCCTTACCCTTCATCCAATTCCCCCCCCCCCCACTTTTGTCTTCAATTTGTCTCAGTTTTGAGTTTATCTCTTCATTTCCTTTATTTTCTTTCTTTTCAGTTTATTACCAGCTCTTTCTCTTCAATTTGTCTATGGGTTATTTTCTCTTCACTTTCTTTCTTCCTTTCTATTTGCCTTTCTTTCTGCATTTAAGGTTCAGATCTGCTCCTTGATGCTTAAAGATCCTTAGTCACTATAAAAATAAGGTGTTTTGATGGCAGTTTGAAGCCCTAATAAAAGACCTTAAGTTCGGAAAAACTGGCACTAATTTTGTGGTTGCCTTGAAGAACCGTTCATAAAGCATATGGGCTCTTCGATCCTTTTTGTTTCATAATTCACGTAGTTTGTCACAACAATGCAAACCTTGAAATGGACATAAAATTGTTAGGAATACAAGTCAAAAGAGAGAGCTAATCCTAAAAGACGATAACTTATTTGGGGGAATGAAGAATCTAAACTACAGCACTTGACCTTGGCAAAAAAAAAAACTACAGCACTTGACCTGTGAGGCTCTCAATGTAAAACTCATAATTAGTATAAAAAAATAAAAAAAATAGTTAATTATAGTTGATTTTTCTAAAATGTTCCTGTTTACCATTAGATTATATATTATCAGTTTATAAGTTTGATAAATTACTTTGAAAAAAAATAGCAAACAAATGAAACAGAATAAATTGAGATTTTATATTTAGAACTAAATTCAACCCTCAACTAACTTTTATATACATATATCCCTTAAATAAGATTCTTAGATCCTAGATCTAGTAACATAAGCTATAGCTTTCGAAAATTAAGATTGAAAATAGAATGTCCTGGATGTTCAAGTTAGAAATTGATTGACACTGTTATTGAATTCCATAACGCGATGTGTATCTTTCTATCAGCGGAACCAAAAGCAGTTCTAGAAAGTACCATGCATGCTTCATAATTAATAAAGTTGAAATAATTTCGAAGCAAATTATTAAAGCTTGTTTTTCTTTCTTTTAAAATTTATATATTGCAAAATACGTGGTCGATTTCAAACAGGGAACAAGTGGATCCATTGGGACCTTAAATTTTTCCTTTTTTAGGTCCAGCTGATGATGAGCTGGCAAGACGTATTTCAATTGAATACCAAAACTATTCATATTATTTAAATCAGATTTTGTTCTTTTAAGTTTCAACCAATAAATTTTGGTTTCTCATTTTTTTTAGTCTAAAATATTAGTCCCTATAATTTTATAAAAGCATAAACCATTTTACTCTTAAGAGACTAAAACCCATGACTTGAAATTTGAGAGAGTAAAACTAAAATTCATGCAAGCTTGTTTGAAAGACTAAAGATTGTATTAACCATTTCAAATTTCACACATCAAAATAAAAAAAAGTAAAATTTTATGAATTAAAATTGAAATTAACCCAATATAGAAATTTATGGTGGTTTATTATTAAAAAAACATACACAAAATTCAATTGCTGCATATAATTTCTCCTATTTATTTTATACCAAAATAAAAAAAAAACAAGAAAACAAAAAGTTGTTCTAAAAAGGTCCATGTGTATTGCGTATGGGAAGACATAACCCCTAGCTAGGGCTGCTGGCTGAGTATATATAGCTCTGTCAACAAAATTCAGTATTGCTCAAATTTATTTATTAAAATTTCAAAAAGAAAAAAGTATGTTCTGGTAACCAAACAAATATAATATTCTTAAAATTACAATAGACAAATATACTCGCCAATATAATATCATTAGATGGCCCCTACTTGGATATTTGAATCAATCTCTGTGTCATTTCTACACATAAAACGACAACGCACGAAGTGATAGATACATGAATACTGTCTACTTTCTGTCTTTAATTTTAAAATAAAACAAGAGTCTTGTGTATGTGCCGAGAGCTGGGAAGAAAATTAGCGATTTCAATCGAAAAATTATAAATAATTAGTATGTAAAATATTTAATAAAAAGTATAGTTTTATGAGACGAATCATATGTTGTTGTCAACTAAAGTGCGCGCATTATTTGTAGGCAGCCCCAAAAAGTTTGTCTTTCTTTAAATGGCAGCAAATAGGAATCTATTCGTTTAAGCATCTTCACGGATTCAATAATTGAGATGAGTGGATTCCCTTGGCGCCCCTGGGGGGAAAGATGGATTCAAATTTTGTGGCTGTCAAATAATTTTACATTTTTACTTAATATTTTGTTGTGCTGAGATTGTGTTGCTGATTTTGTTTTTTGTTTTCTTTTTATGAATTAAATTAAACGCTTGAAATAATAACTCTGTGATGTGCGATCTGTGCACATAATTCATTTATATATAATTCCATTTCTAATTAGGTTAAATGTATCCATTAGGTGAAAACTTTCAAAAGAAAAAAGAATTAATATGCAAGTCTCTACAATTTTAACTCAATTTTCAGTAAGTCATTGCAGTCGCCCCCCCCCCTCTTTTTATGGAGTCTTTATAGTTTTCTCAATTTTAAGTATTACTCTCTCTGCTCATAATTTGTTAGACAAATGATGTTTGTAGCTAATGGTGTGGTCCACATACAGTCAACATATATATGAAATTATCTTATCACATAACTCTAAATAAAATCAAAATCCATCATATTATGGATTATATTAAATACAAGAAACCAGTGATGAATATAATGATTTTTAATTTTTATATTGATAATAGATCAATTTCATTTCATCATTTTATTCCAAAAAACCTCTCTTATTTTTCTTTTGTTGCGTCTTGCATGTCATTTAGTCACCATCCACATTAACTCTAGGGTAAAGATACAAATTTAGCCTTGATCTTATTTATCAGATTCATTGATGCAATTTTACCTATGATCTTTGGGTGCACAAAAAAAAAAATCATGGATAAAACTGCACTACTAAAAGGGATTGGGGTGGAACATGCACTTAAGAAAAAGAATTAGCGGCACAATTGCACATTTACCCATAACTCTAACTAATATATTATTATGAGCATAGAAGCTAATGCCTATAATTGAGAAAAATTGTTGGTAAAGACCTAATAAAATTTTTAAAAAAAAACACACACACAAGACCTGATCAAAAATCAGTTGAATTTGTAAGGACCCATGAATTAATTTGCCCTAATTATTTTGGTAACTTGCATTGTTTTTGGGTTAAACGATAACTTCTATAGCAGGTTACATATATATGATACAAAACTTGATACTTTTACTTGTGCAATTCAGGAATTGGAATCGTATCAATCCCTTATGCACTAGCATCAGGAGGATGGTTAAGCATATCATTATTATTTCTCATAGCCATTTCCTGCTATTACACTGGCTTACTGGTTCAAAGATGCATGGACATGGACCCTCACATAAAGACCTTCCCTGACATTGGAGAACATGCTTTTGGAAGTAAAGGAAGGCTAATGGTCTCAATCGCCATGAACTCTGAGCTCTACCTTGTGGTCACAGGCTACTTAATCTTAGAAGGAGACAATCTCAATAAGTTGATTCCAAATATTAATCTTCATATTGCAGGCTTCACAATTGGTGGAACCACTCTTTTTGCTGTACTTGCAGCTCTTGTTATTTTGCCTACTGTTTGGTTACAGGATTTGAGTCTTCTCTCTTATGTTTCTGCGAGTGGTGCTTTGGCTTCCACTGTGTTTCTTGTCTCTCTCCTTTGGAATGCTACCATTGATGGAACTGGATTCCATGGAAAGGGAACTACCGCTATCAAATGGAGTGGGATTCCTGCTGCTGTTAGCTTGTACGCCTTTTGTTATAGTGCTCATCCCGTCTTGCCAACCCTCTATAATTCCATGAGAAACAAAAGCCAGTTTTCCAACGTGAGTATTAAATTCTTTCCATTTCTTATCTGTTAGGATGTCTAAGTAAAATGAGGCTTAATAATAGATATTTAACAAGTGAAAAGACTGTAGCCTATGATGTTATGAGGTAAAATGTGGAATCCTATGCTCATTATCGCCCATTTGTTTTCTTCCTGAATTGGCCTTCGCTCCCTCCCTATTTCTAATAGTTATGACATAAATATTGGGCTAAAAAGAGCATCTGAAAAAGAGGAATTTCTTTGGTCTATTATTACAAGAAAGTAAGTGTACACAAGTGGACTTGAATTCATATCCTAATAAGCAATCTCAATATCTTAAACTTTTCTACTTTGCTACTTCTTCCCACAACAATTTACACTTGACTTTTATAGTAAATTACTACAAAAGAAAATGAAATCCTTTCGCAAGTTGTTTTTATAATAGATTTTGCAATGATCTGTTCCATTTGCAAGAGATGTGTGCAAACTTTTTATTCTGAGATTCCGTCACTAATTTTCAATTTTGTTATACCACATCCTAGAGCTAGACAAGTGATTTACTTTGATCCTAAATCTAAGACCCCAATTTCAATTTTTTCATAATGAACTGGTTTAGTTAATTTTCATAGTATCTATAAATTAGTTATTCATTTCTTTTGCAGGTATTGCTGGTATGCTTTTCAGTATGCACTCTTGGATATGCAGCAGCAGCTATATTGGGCTACTTAATGTTTGGGCAACAAGTTGAATCCCAAGTCACTCTAAACCTTCCCACAGGAAAATTCAGCTCACAAGTTGCAATCTACACAACCTTAGTGAATCCCATAGCCAAATACGCCTTAATGCTCACACCAATTGTGAATGCTGTGAAGAAATTAGTTTCATGCCAATACAATAACAAAAGGCTCACACACCTCATTGTGAGTACTTCACTTCTTATCAGTACTGTGATTGTTGCTGTGGCCATTCCTCTCTTTGGATACCTCATGTCTCTTGTTGGAGCTTTGTTAAGTGTTTCTGCTTCCATTTTGGTTCCTTCTGTGTGTTACTTGAAGATTTCTGGAGCTTATAAGACATTTGGGTCTCAAATGATCATCAACTATGGGATTGTGATTATGGGTTTGGCTATTGCTGCTGTAGGAACTTACACTTCTCTCGTAGATATTGTTGGTCATTTGTAAAATCTGTATTATAAAGCTGTGTCGTACGAGAATAATTACCTCTATCTTTGTTTAATTATTTTGATAGTTGTTCAAGAACATGATTTGGTATGTGGTTGTACTTTTTGTTATGATTTTGGTAATTTTTAAATATGTTAGTGTCATTCATGATGCTTTGTACTCTGTTTTGACGACAAGAATATTCGAAGGTGCAAGGTTTAGTCTAGTTACATGCTGATCAACTGATAAAACCCAAAATCTTTCTGGTCATTAATATAACAAATCAATTTGAATACTACCTCCAGTCCTAATTATAAGAGCTAGTTGACTAATTTGAGGAGATTAAAAAAGTAAGTTGAGTTAGTTATTTGTTCTAAATAAGTGTTGTCTTTCCTAAAATATTCTTACTAATCAAATGTATTGACTAAAACTATCATTGTTAAAAAGGCTACTTTGAAAAAAAATGTATAAATATGAGAGACAAAGTGGATTGGGGTCTTATATTTAGGATCAAAATAAAAATCAAACAGAGTCTTATATTAAGGACCGAAGGTAGTATATTAATAAAGTCAAATAAATTAGTTAATTATATTAAATATGATATGATCTCTCTAAAGTACCTCTATCTTGGTTTAATTATTTTGATAGTTGTTCAAGAACATGATTTAGTTCAACTTGCATTTTTGGTTATGATCTTGTTTTAAATATGTTAGTTTGATTCATGATGTTTTGTGCCCTGTTTTGACTAGAAGAATAGTCAGCAAGTGCAAGGTTTTAATTAGTTTAATTTGCATATCCTATAGTCTCTTCAATTTCTGAATCAAAGTAGAAATTTGCTGTTATGAGGCGATCAACTGATAAACCATGTAACCCCTCTGGTCCTTGTTAATTAATAGCTATTTAATTAATTCAGATAGATTAAATAAAGTCATATTGGTTTATTATAACAAATAAGACATGATCTACCAAAGTGTACCACTGAATAACATTAGATTATATACCCATTTATGAGTTAAGTAAATTAATTTACGAAAAAATAATAAATATGAGAGATACAGTAAATTAATGTCTTATATTTAGAACTAAATTTAACTCTCTAATTAACTCTTATGTTTTTTTTTTTTGCATCCTAATTAACTCCTATGTTAGAGACTGAAGGAGTACAACACAAATCATGTGAAGGACTAAATCAGTATACAATCAACCACTCATCTTAGTAAAATGCGTATATTATTACAGAAGGATTATATTTTCTAAAATTGCCCAAATACGAGGTAGAGATTGTAGAAAAATTACAAAGACTTGTGCGGATATTGGGCTTGTACGTATAAAAATCGCCCAAAGATTATGGGCTTGTTTGGTTATGTTTTCTATTCTTTTGTTTTCAAAACAATTTTTATAAAACTGTTTTTTAAAACAAATTTTGAGGGAAAAAAACCAAAAAAACATGTTCAGATAATTGTTTTTAAAAATTTAAAAAAAATAAAAAATTTTTTTGGATGATTAATTTTAAAAATTATTTTTAACATCAACTTAAAAATGTAAAATTAATTACTTGAAATCTTATTATAAGGTAAATTAATTTGATAAAGCTGGTAAAAAAAACTAATTTAATAAAAAATAAAATAGAATGACTAATAAATAACACAAAAAGTAACATGGTTAAAATTTAAATGGACATTGTTTTAAACAAAGTCTCAAAAATAACATCTAATTCAAATTTCTAGTAGAAATTTGATCAGGATACGTTGACATCTCTAATGGCGCTTTGATTAGCTACTCTTAACAAGTTATCTAGATTATAACTTGCACTATCTAAATTTGTGTTTCCTATCAAATTTTTAATTTTTGAATTTGTGTTTACAGTTAATTCCTCCGCCTCTGCCAAATTCATATTTTTCCATTCTGTGAGTAACAAATCAGGTCGACTCGACTGGCGTATATAGTTAAGAATAGCACAATATGCTATCACTATAAGACAGTGTCTTGAGGGCTTGTATGGTGGCATTAATTTTAGAATTGGAAATTGAGTTTTCAAAACTCCGAAACAATGCTCAATCGTCAGTCTTAATAAACGCCGAGGACTAAAACCAAAGAATGAGGGGACGCGAGCACAAGGTTGAAGCATCGGCGAGCACTTCAACCCTCCAAGACTCCAAGAGCCATCGAGCGAGCAAAGAAGAAGTCCTGAAGAAGTCTCAGATTTTTTAAAATATAAAACAAAACTAGAAAGCATCTTAAAATTGTTTTGTGTTTTTAGGTTTTAAAAACAAATCATTGTTTTTTTAAGGAACACTTTATTAAAAATAAGTTCTCAAACATGTTTTTTTTTTAATTTTTTTGTTTTAAAAAAGTTGTTTTCAGAATAGATAAACAAACAAGCCTGACGTTTTTCTTTTGGTGCTAGGTGCCCAAAGGTTACATAGAGATTCATAATTTTTAAGAACAAAAAGGATGACATTTAAGTTTCAAAGGATGAATCCAATAACAATGAAATCCAAAGACTTATTTCTTAAGTTTCAAAGGATTCTTAGTGACAAATCACTGGAAGTAACACATAAAACTTAAATTTCTAATTTGCAATTAAAATCCACATAAAATTTTACAATTAATTAAATTGATATGCGTAACTCATCTTTAATTCTAGATTTTCCCTTCAAACAATGCAAGTTTAAAAATCATTTCTAGAACGAAACGTTTGAATACAACCAATCATATCGTCCGTTGTATTCTTACTTTGTATAATACTGCCTTTGATATTTAATATAGGGTAATACAGGATGAAAGTACAAAAATAACTATACATTTTTACCAAAGTACATTCACCACCATAAGCTTTTATGAGGTGCAAAAGTATACTGCCATTAAATTTGCCAAACGGCCGTTACTTTTTTTTATGGGACTTATGCTAATGTTATGAAAGTATCAAAGTGCTCCTAATTTAGAAAAAAGGGTGAAGGAACAAAAATACCGGCAAACTTTCAGCCAAAGCACGCCAAACACCATGTGTTTTTTTTTGCATATGCAAAAACACCATGTGTTTTGTTTTACTTTCACGGGTACTTTTACACATGTAAAAAAACATATGGTGTTTAATGCACTTTTGCTAAAAGTTTATGGTTATTTTGCACCTTTGCCTTTTTTTCCTTTTTTAGCAAGGGTATTTTGGTACTTTCATAACACCAGCATGGGTCTTACTATAAAAAGTAACGATTGTTAGACAAATTTAATAGCGGTATCATTTTTGCTCTGGTTTTGCAAGTTTATAAGTATTTTTATATCTTGAAAAAGCATATGGTGGTAGGTGCACTTTGAGTAAGTTTGTATGTATTTTTGCATCGTCAACCTTTTAATATATAAAAGTTAGTTAAGAGTTAAATTTTGTTTTAAATATAAGATCTCAATTCACTTAATTATCTCCCAAATTTATAATTTTTTTGTAATGGATCCTTATTAATTGTACATATCAAAGAGTTTCATGCCAGTGGTAATTCTATTACACATGATTAAATATAGTAATTTAGTAAAGCCAGCACACCTATGTTATAATAACTAACATAACTAATTTTCTTAATATCCGCGAGTTAGTTATCTAGCTTTCATATTAATAATTGGATTTATTATATTTATATATTGATTATAAGGATTAGGATGCTAACTTTAATATCCTATGGGATCGGAATGGATTTGAAAATATTTAAACTCTGACAAGTGGTTTATTTAACAATTAACAAATATAGAGGCTTAACCATTAACTTTTTTAAGAGAACATTTTATGAGATGGAAATGCAATTAGAAAAATTGAATGATTAAAAAGTGATAGTTGAAAACAAATCTCCACATATAGTAAATTGCGTTTTACCGTAGCAATTTGAGCAATTTTTTTCAAAAAGAAAAGATTGAGGAAGTTAGGAAAATATGAGCCCAAGAGTGAGAAAAGATATTAAGTGTGAGACTTATTACAGTGAAAAAAAGGTGGGTATAGAATCTACAATGAAATTACATAATTATTTACAAAAATTGCAAAAACTAAATAAACGAGCAACTTAACGAACAATTTTTGTATTTGGAATGGGAATTTATACAAAGATAACAATTTTTGTTAGAAAAGAATTGGGCCTTCTCTCTTTAGGCCTAAATTCTTATGTGTTTGTTCTGCGTAGTCTTTTTTTTTTTTTTTAGGGAAGCAATAATGTTAAAGTTCTTCTAAGAAATATACTTTTTGAAATTCGAACTTATATTCTCCTCATTCATTTCATCAAAACAACCCTTTTAGGATCCAAGGAATTGCTCCCAAAAAAAAAAAACAAACAAACAAAAGCCTTCTCAACTTCAATGTCCAATGGCTTGCTAGGTCTGAGGAAAATAGGAGAAGGATACAATTTTTTAAAAAAATAACAAACAAATGGGATTAAAAGATTTTAATTAATTTTAATTACTTTTTTCTGTTAAAATTTTATAAGCTAATTTGTCCATTTTTTTAAATCGAAATAATTAAGAGTTTCTCACCCCCTCGTTGCTATTCTCCAACCTAAGTAAACTTAAGAAAAACTAATACACAAAAATGAAAAGAAATATATTGTTAAGTGCTATAATCTTAAAACATGAACTCAATCAAGTACCACCAATTTATTGCCTTGACAATCAACAAGAGTTTTTGACAATTTTCATAAAAGTAGTACAAATTCTTGAGATTTCAAAAGAAGCCCAATCTACATATATAAACCCTAAATCAAATCATACTGAAATCTTGATCAGAATTTAAAGCTAATCAAACTTGATAAATCCCGGATTAAATGCCCAATATTAATTACACTTTCAAATGTTTGATTATTTCTCCTAGTGAAGTGTAAGTTCCCACAGCTGCAATTGAAATCCCCATGACAACAATTCCATAATTGACCATCATATCCCATCCAACCACCTTAAACTTTCCTGAAATCTTCAAGTAACACACACACGGGACCAGAAATGAAGCAGACACACTCAACAAAGCTCCGACCAGAGACATCAAATATCCGAAGAACGGCACGGCGAGCGCGACGATCACCGTGCTGAGCAGCAAGGTGGTGCTGAGGACTAAATGTGATGCTTTCTTCTTGCTTAAGCTTGAAGGGATTGTGTTTTTAATGGCGTCCACAATTGGTGTGAGCATCAAAGCATACTTTGTTATGGGATTCACCAACGTTGTATAAATTGCCACCTTTGAACTTATTTTGCCTTTTG